GTTGTGGTCTTGACCGGTCTTGAAATAAAATGCCGCGTCCTCAGCGCCCGAGACCGAGACAAGACCGAGACCAAATGCGGTCAAGTCCGAGACGAGACCGAGACCATCAAAAATGGTCCGACCTCGAGTACTACAACACTGCCTGAGGGAACGTGAGGGTGTGTAAGAATGCAACAGCTCAGACAGATAAGAAGGAGCAAGGCCATTAAGAGGTTTAAAAACAAATAAAATAATTTTAAAATCAATCCTAAAATTCCTTACACTGGCAGCCAGTGTAAGGAAGCTAAAACAGGGGAAATGTGGTCGAATTTTCGTGTACCTGTTAAAAGACGTGCAGCAGCATTTAGAACCCTCTGAAGTTGGGAAATATACAAACCACTGACCCCTGCATAAAGTGAGTTGCAGTAATCCAGGTCACAAATGCATGGATCCCTGTTTTACTTTGGCTAGCTGCCTTAAGTGGAAAAAGCTGATGTATTTAAGCAGCATGGAGGTCTATCCTCAGACGAAAACAAAGACCCAAACTGCATCTGACTCGGAATGTGTGCAGGAGGATAGGTTTCGAAACAACTTCAGAAAACTGACTTAAAGTCCGCTTGCCTTCAGATTTTAGCCAGTTTGTGTTTCTGCCATTTATTTTTATCTTTGCAATACCTAATGAAGTCTTCCAGCAATTCACTTAACTTCTCCCTAATGGATGAGAAATGCAGCTAATTATTTAATTTCAATACTTTTAACATTCATCCTTTCATTGGCATTAGCAAATATAACTATTGATATAGACCAATATGCTGCATTTCTGCAAAGTCATGAGTTCTCATTTCTTCCTCTCTGTTGTTACTTTGTTGTTTGTGCAACAGTGAAAAATGTGGAGATGAATAAGCAGCGCTCTCCAAAGTTCCCCCAGCCTGCTTTTGTTATCCCTGAACCGCCCGACCATCCGGTCTTGAATCCTGGAAGAAGCCGGACGAATCAGCTCAGTCAGGGATCAGATACCAGCACTCAGTCCATCCTTTCTGTCAGCTCTCTGGGTCCGAGCTCTTTGGACTCCACTGGACAGGAAACGGACTCCAGTAAGACGTTCCTGTTTCTCCCTCATGGCTGGGTTTGGGAAATCTACATTTATTTTGCAAAAGCATTTTCCTGGGAATAACTTAGAATAGCTAATTTACAATTGTGTTAAACATTGTCTTTTGAATAAATATGTTAAAGTCGCAGGGAAGTCGTATTTAAATTTCAAATCATTCTGGCTGAAACATGTATATAAATGTACTCTTTATCAGACCATATTGTCCCAAAAGTTAGAAAATTTTTTTAAAAAAA